AGATGCTGTGTCCACCGAAAACTGAAAAATAAAATAAATATTAAAAAATCCTCTTTCTCTCTCTCTCTCTCTCTCTCTCTCTCTCTCTCTCTCTCTCTCTCTCTTCTCTTTAAAAAAAAAAAATTGGGAGGGAAAAAATGGGGAGGGTTACTGATGAGTTAAACTCCCATCTCTTATTATCAGAATTCATTTGTTCTAATCTGATAAAATAAGAAATGACAGTACAATATTATTACTTTATACAGAAAAAAACATTTATAGTTTTACAACAGTATTAGATCTAGGAAGACAATCTCTCAGAGTAGTAAAAAATGAAGTGTTGCCTTTGTAAAAGAGAACCTAGGACAGGGAAGAACTGCTTTTCACTTTTAGGCTTTTGGGGGTTGGGGGAGGCACTAGGGATTGAACCTAGGGGTGTTTTGCCACTGATATAGCCCTTTTAACTTTTTTTTATTTTTGAGAATGGATCTCACTAAGTTGCTGAGGCTGGCTTCAAACTTGCAATCCTCTAGCCTCTGCTAGAGTAGCTGGGACTATAGGCATATGCCACTACATCCAGTTTATAAACTTAAAAAAAATAAGTATTTATATTATCCTATTCAAAAATATTTGGCAACTAGGAACAATGATGCATGCCTATAATCCCAGCTACTCAAGAGGCTGAGACAGGAAGATCACAAGTAAGCTAGTCTCAGCAACTTAGCAAGACCCTGTTCTCCAAAAAAAAATTGAATTAAAAGGGCTAGAAATGTAGCTCAGTGGTAACAGTTCCCATGTGCAATACCCAGTATCACAAAATAAATAAATAAATACACACATACATTTAACATATCTCATCAAAATTAAAAACTTGCTATGAAAAACCTTGTGAGCAGGATTAAAAGATACAGAGTAGGAGAAAAAACTAGCAAATCACATATTCTACAGAGGACTAGTACCTAGAATACATAAAGAACTCTCAAAACACAACTGTGAAAAATAATCCAATTAGAAAATGGGCAAAAGATATGAACAGGCATCCCTGAAGAGATTGACAGACAGTAAATAAAAACCTGATAAAATATTCAATATCATTTGCCACAGGGAAACACAAATTAAAGCCGCAATGAGATATTATTGTACACTTATCACAGGGGCCAAAATAAAAATTAGTGAAGAGGTTGGGGATATAGCCCAGTGGTAGAGGACATGCTTAGCATGGTTAAAGGTCTGCATTCAATCACCAGCACTCCTCCACCAAAAAAAAAAAAAAAAAAAAACACCAAATGCTAACAAGGATAATGAGAAATTGGATCACTCATATATTGCTGGTGGGACTATAAAACAATACAAAAACTCTTGAAAATAGTCTAGTTTTCTTAAATTAAAGACGCAATTACCATACAACAAAGCAATTGAAAACCTGGGCATTATCCCAAAGAAATGAAAAATTAAGTTCATATAAAACCTATACACAAATGTTTATAGTAATTTTATCACAATAATCAAAAGCTAAAAACAATCCAGATGTACTTCAATAAATAAAAGGTTAAACAAACAGTGGTATATCCATATCACTGCTTAGCAATAAGAAATAAACTACTGATATCGGCAAAACTTGGGTGGATCTCCCAGAAGTTATGCTGTTGGGAGGAAAAAAAGCCAATCCCAAAAAGTTATGTATGTATCTAACATTCTGAAATGATAAAATTTTATAAATGCAGAATGAATTAGTGGTTGCCAGGGGTTTAAGTGAAGACAGAGAGGTTTGTCTATGAGGGCAACACTAGATATTCGTGTATTGGGAACCGTTCACTATCTTGACTGTAGTGGTAGATACATTACTACACAGAAGATTAAACAGTGTAAAACTCAATATACACACCCATACACAAATACAAATAAAACAAGAAATCTGAATAAATTCTGTAGATTTTATCAATGTTGATAAAATGGTTGTGATACTGCATTATAGTTTTGTAAAATATTAGCATTGGGGAAAACTGGGCAAGGTATATACAGGATCTCCCTGTATTGTTTCTTATAATAGCATATCAATCTAAAATTATCTTAATTTTAAAAATGTTTGATGGGCAAGCGTGGTAACATTTACCTGTGTTCCCAGCAACTTGGGGATCTGAGGTAGGAGGATGGTAAGTTCAAAGCCAGTCTGGGCAATTTGAGATGATCCTATCTCAAAAAATATAAAGGGCTGGGCTGGGGTTATGGCTCAGGGGTAGAGTGCTCACCCAGCATACATGAAACACTGGATTCAATCCTTAGCACCACATAAAATAAAAAATAAAGATGTTGTGTCTACCTATAACTAAAAAATAAATATTTTTTAAAAAATTAAAGAATAAAGGGCTGGGGATATAGCTCAGTGGTAGAGTGCCCATAGGTTCAATCCCTAGTACTACAAAAAAAAACAAAAAACAAAAACAGTTTAATGGGAAAATAAAAATATCTATATTTCTTCTGTATTATATTTTAGGACACTCCCTGTTTAGGTATGTCAGGCTATATCACTAGGACATTAGATAAGGTAAGATAATTTTTTGGAATTTTATGACAGAGAAAGTTTCCCAAAGTAGACTTTCTTCCCAAAATATCTGCTTTAATAAATAAAGATAAATTCATCATTAATACATGATTTAAAGAACTTTCAATCTTTTGGAATCAACCTCAAACTCCTTCTAGCTTCATGGCCTCTGCAATTGTACTTCATGTCTGGAAAGCTCCTGCTCTCACACTGCATGCTTTTCCTTAGCCCTTCAACTATTCCTAGCAAATTCATGTTTACTGTTTAGATTGCATTCCCCAAAAAAGGTGTTCCCTTATTCCCCATATTAGGTTTTTTTTCCTCTTTACAATGGTTACAATCGTAAATGAAGAGCTACTTACATAATGACTTGTCTAAATCTGTCTCCCCTATTAAATTATAAGATCTCTGAAAATAAAACCCCTTTAAAGTACATGCCACAGTGCCAGCACATTATTATTGAATATAGTAATACAATCTTTTTAATAGAGAAACAATAACACATTGATGCAGAAAAGAAATTGTAGTAGTATGGAACTTCTCAAACAATACCTCTTCCTTCACAATGGAGGTAGCATGTTTCCGGTCACCCTTTTCATGACTAAGGGTGCTTAGCCTTAAAAATAAGCCTAGAATATACTCCTAAAGAAATACTATAAACTTAAATGCCTAGAAAGCAAAGCAAGGTAATAAAGATGAGTAAAGCAGGTGAGTATAGAAACAAAAGCACAAGTACTATGATAAATGACAAAGAAACACCTATCCTCAGTGTCCAACTTCAATACTGACTTGTAGGACTACGGAAAACCATTGCACTCTCACGCTTCATCTAGGGGAGGTTAGCTACTAGTCACAGTTCCAACCAATTGTTGCCAATAAAGACCATTAAAGCTAGAAACCAGAAATCCAGGTTTTACAACAAATTTCCCCATTTTTAAATTTTGCCAACTAATTCAAATATATTTTACCATGTGTGGGTCTAATAAAAAACCATGAGCCCACAAGTTTGCAGAATTTTCTAAAGCATTCATTTCTACTTGCTATGGAAGAAATTTATGTGCAAATACAAAGTATAAAATATACCAGAAAAAAATGCACTTCTTTTTAAGATACAAGTCTTGAGGCTGGGGTTGTGCCCAGCAAATGTGAGGCACTGGATTTGATCCTCAGCACCATATAAAAAAATTAATAAATAAGTGAATGAAACAAATAAAAGTTATTAAAAAAAAATTAAAACAAGTCTTCAATCATCTCAAGCCGATACTTTACTCTTACTATGTCCGGTTTCTACCCTGACACCTCAAGATTCCTAGAGTTGTCTGGGCTCTTCTTCAACCTTAAGAGAATTGGGACAGAAGACTAAGAAGCACTGATCAGTTAAAAAGGAAAAAGCATTTGAATCAAAAGGAACAGATTCAAAGCCTAGCTCTGTCACCTGTTAGCAATGTATTCTAAAGAAAGTTATTTAACTTCTTCACCCATCAGTTTCTCCTAGTATATAATGGAAGAAATACAATGCCTTTAGTACAATTGTTTTGTGGATAGAATTTAAATGAAATTATAAGGGTGCTTAGCTATAAAAACAGCTAAGCCTAAAGTGTATTCCTAAAGAGATACTATAAACTTAAATGCCTAGAAAGCAAAGCAAGATAATAAAGAGGAGTAAAGCAGGTGAATATAGAAACAAAAGCACTTGCCTAACACATGTGAGGCACTGGAAATTATCCTTAGCACTATATTAAAAAAAAGTAAACAAAGTTATTAAAAAAAAATTAGTCTTCTGCCCCAATTCTCTTAAGGTCAAAGAAGAGCACAGACAACTCTAGGAGTCAAACATACAACATAGGGCCTAATGCAAAGGATGAACTCAAAAACTGGACACAGTAAATGAATACTGTTTATGGTACAATTTAAACATTTTGGATCTAAAACTGGAGAGGTACTTTGGGTTGGTAAATAGAAAGCGTGCCTAACAGGTTTTTGTTCTTGTTTTTGTTTGTACCAGGGACTGAACATAGGGGCACTTAACTACTGAGCCACATCTCTAGCCTTTTTATATTTGATTTAGAAACAGGGTCTCATTGAGTTACTGAGGCTGGCTTTGAACTTGCAATCCTCCTGCCTCAGTCTCCCAAGATGCTGGGATTATAGGCAGGCACCACCATGCCCAGCACCTAATAGTTTTGATAACATGCCTAAATATTTTCTTCTAAGAAGTTATATCTTTATTAAGAGAAATGCTTATTCTGTTTCACAGGCATAAGATAAAATACTTACAATTTGAATATTCAGCTATAAAAAATTTACCTTTGTAAAAGAGAGATTCCCAACATCAGTACTATCTATACCAGCCTCAAAACCCATTCCCTAATTCACAAAAAGATTGATTGATTTATCCTTGGGATGAGGCAACAGGTGCTCATAAGAGTTGATATCCCTTGATAAATTTAAATAAACTCCTTCAAATATTATAATATACCTGCATGTCCTGTTTGGCTGAGGTAACTGTTCAATGACTTGACTGATGGAATCACATGTATCCAAATGAGAAGAATCCACAGGGACTGGAAAATAATAATAATAATAATAATAACAACAATGGGATATTAGCACAAAAGGCATTTACCAACAAACTTTCATACAAATTCAGAAATTCAGACAATACCAATCTAGTCAGCCACATCTGAACATCATGAATTTTTGAATGTTAACTATGCACCAGATACTGCACTAGGCTTCCTTACATACATTCATCACAACCATATAATGTTTAATCCACTCTGCTCCAACAACACCTTAAAAAAAAAATGCAAAAGGGACTGATAGCTTTAAGCACCTCACCTGCAGACTTGTCTTTCAAATGTTCACTGAACCCACTATTACTGTTTTCTTGTTCTTCTCCAGCAGCTTGTTCAGGATTGGACACAACATCCTAGGAAATATACATATATAATTTCCCCAATACATTCTAAACAGTCCAAAATGGTTTCATTTTCCCCAACCAACTTTATCCAAAAGATGGTGATCCTCTAAATACTTATGTACGCTGGTTGGGCTGAATTGGGGGGAAAACTACTCCATCATTTTCAAACAAGATATCACTCACCAACACAGGGTTCTCTTTGTGCGTCTGGAGATTCGGAAGGTGTCGAGACAGCACACTGAAGTGAGAACCAGAATCATCTTCTAGAACCTGGCTTTCAGGCTGAGAATCTTCAATTATCAGGCAAGGGGTATCTTGCTGAGAAAAATCTGAATCCAACTGACTTCCAGTAGGGTCCATCTGCTCCCCTGGAATGGAATAACAAAAGATCGGTTCTCTGTAACCTACAAGCGCCTTCCTCACGGAATCTAAGCCTAAATAATGGGGCGGAAGTACCAGGGCTGGGAAGGGGACCAGTCCAGGGCTCCTTCGATTAGAACACGATATTTGCAATCGCTGCAAGCACTTTCCTACTATACCTCTTAAGCTCCCATTTCCTCGCTATTTACAATAAGCCTACCTATCCTTCCCTCCCTCTTTTTCATCACCTACCCACAGAAACCCTTTCCCCTCCTTCCTAACCTCTACTCTCCCCGCCCCTTTTTCCATCCCCCCACAACTCTCCCTATGTCCTTCGGCCGCCTCTACTGCCCCCAAAATGCTGCTTTGTAACCTCTGTTCGCTGGAACCCCCACAGCCCTTCACGCTTCCTCAAGACCACTCAGCCTTCCTAGCTCCTGCTTCCCCACCCCCTCCTTAGGGTCCTCCAACCCCTTCCCCGTCACCGCCGCCATGCTTGCCACCCCGCCCCCTCCGGTCAGCCATCCCTTCAGACCCGAAACCCAAGCTTTCAGAGCCAAGTGAGCCCCCACTTTTCTCCAAGCAGTACCAGGCATCCCGGCGGGAGGTCCCTCGCGCTCGAGCTAGAGGTCTCTGCACGTTCCCCAGGTCCCTCCAGCTCTATCCCCAGGTCGCCACTGTCGCCACCGCCGCCACCGGCCGCGAACTCCCCCTTTTCCCGTCGCGTCACGCAGAATCGGATCGCCCATTCGCTGTTTTTGCTCGCCACTCAAGAAAGCCTGTGAATGATAGGTGGCTGAGGCGGAATGCCCCGCCCCAACGTAAGAAAAAGGAACACGGCGGCGCGTTTCCATGGCAGCTTGGACGTTGCAGGCCCTCCCCTTAGTACAGCCAGAGAATGACAGTATCCTTGAACCGAAGGGACCTTGAGAGGGCATGAAATCTATTCCCTGGTCTCCAAGACGATTGTATTTTCCACTACTCAGACCCTTGAGAATCTCCACCTGCTTTCTGTCGTTCATGTACCTTAAAGCCCCTTCCCTCTATTCCATGGAAAAAAAGAGTTTCCGGGCTTTCTAATAATAAAAGGGCAAAGAGGAGGATTGAGGGTAGCTAGTACCTCAGAGCTGATGAGAAGGAAGGATCTTTGGGATTTACCAAAGTCAATCAAGATCCCTTTGAGGGCCTCTCCCTGTATTCAAGGGGCCTGAAGCTTCTCACCTTACACCTCTGCCAGTTTTAGATTTGGGGGGGTTTTGTTTGATTGTTTGTTTTCTTACATTGTCTGAGGGGCTCAGTAAGCCATATTTCTTCCCATTGCCCTTTCCAGCCTGGAAGGTATTTCAAGGTTTCATTTGTTTATCTTCGCACTTTATTTTATGGGATCACAGCCTACAGAGACTACAGCCCCAGACATGTTTTGCACCTCCCATTGAGAGAATTGAGCATTGTGATTCTCAGATCGGTGGTAAAGAGAACAGCTGTCATTCTATCGAACTCTATAACCTCAAAGATCCTCCAAGCCCTGAGATTCAATTATCCTAATTATGATGCCAGGGTCCTATAGAGGGTGTGGCAGCTGTTACAATTATTAATGAACTAGACACCATAAGGCATATGTATTTGGTTTTTGTTGTTGTTTCTATTTAAATGGTGGTGGATCTAGCATAGAATTTTAGCCAGAACAGCTGTCAATAGAGAAAGTACCTAGCATAATGCCAACTGTATACATAGTAGGTAGTGAATAGGAGGTAGTTTTCTATCTGTACCCCAGGCTCAGAATTATTTAGGCACAGCCCAAATATGATTCTCCGTTTCTATAAATGTCCAATTTGGCACTTGAAATAAGCTAAGCTAAAGTGGAGCTTCCTACCAATCTTCTTCCTGCTGCTGTAAATTACGGTGATCATATTTTCCAAACCAAAAGACTGAGTATATGTTACTTATGTGAACCAAAGGACTGACTCTGAAATGAAATTGTCTTGAAAAAAATCTAGAATCTATTATTACTATAACTAGAATATAATTAGAATATTTCATTGGTAGAGAAAAAAGTGAAATGAACCACACAATAGACACATTTCACTTTTTTAAAAAAGAAAGAGGGAGAGAGAGAGAGAGAGAGAGAGAGAGAGAGAGAGAGAGAGAGAGAGTATTTTAATATTTATTTTTTAGTTTTTCGGCGGACACAACATCTTTGTATGTGGTGCTGAGGGTCAAACCCGGGCGGCACACATGCCAGGAGAGCTCACTACCACTTGAGCCACATCCCCAGCCCCACATTTCACTTCTTAATCTTAAAATCATTTATAATTGTCTCCTCTCTTTCTCCACTCAATGCAAAAGACCAGTGACCAAATAAATGTAATCCCCAAAGGACCAAGTTCTTTTAATACCCAGTATAGTTAGTGACATAACACTAACTAGATACAAACAAACAGGTCTTCCTAATTATTCAACAAACAACTCTTTGTCAAAACCATAAAACTAAAAAGGGTGGCAGTTACCACTATGAACTTTCTCAAAAAGTCCAAGAGTGAAATGAGCCCAGAGGAGTTGCTTAAGCAGGAAGAGGAGGAATTTAACACAGTTCTACTCTCTGTGCTCACGAAGTCAGTCAAAAAACATACCCAAGTGCTCATCAGCTGCCATAACAAGAAGAAACTCCTGGGTCAAGTGAAGGCCTTTGACAGGAACTGCAACACAATGCAGAAAATGTGAATATGAGCACAAAGGTGCCCATGAGTAGCAAGGGCAAACAGTTGTTCAAGCCAGTCAACAAGGACCGCTACATCTCCACGATGTTTCTAAGCAAGAACTCCGTCACTATGGTCCTGCAGAACCCTCTCATTGCTGGCAAGTAGGGGCCCCTCCACACTGTTGGAACTTGCTCCTCTGCCCTGCAAAGACCTGCCCTTTGTGATGGGAATGATAAAGTTCTACTTTTTTTTCCTAAAAAAGAAAGAAAGAAAGAAACCAGGTGATTTAAATATCAAGAAACATGATTAAAAATAAATAAATGAGCCTGAGCCATTCCATTACTAAATAAATCAAGAGTTTTTAAAAAAACTGTGAAGAAAAACTGTGAATTCCTCGTTCGGCAGTGTGGCAATAAAATTAATCATTAAATTATCTGGAAAGATCAGAAAATACAGGCAGAATGGTTAGCTACTGAGGCTGTGACTTAATGCAGACAGGTAAGTCATAGGCCTTTAATGACTCCTAAACTGCAAAGGACCATCAGGCACATCTACCTATCTACAGGTATATATTTATCTAAGCCACCTCACACAGAGAGAAATCTAATCTACCTCTAAAGTCTTCCCACAGAAGAAAATTCGATTAGTCCCTATGTTAACTTACTTTAAAGTTTAACACAACTCATTGTCAGAAACTTTTCTTCTAATCATTTAATCTAAATCCTTCCTTCTAGATCTTAAAATCATTTCCTCTCATATTGTCTTTAACTAGTATATCTAAAACCTGGACAGATTCACATCAAGTTGGGATCATCTCATTTGGTCCTATAATTTCACAATAAATCTCAACCAAACAAATATAAATGTTACATTACTTGGTTTATCAGTGTTTTTCTGAGGTCCCCTCACGGACTTCTCTAAGCAGAAGAATCTCAGGCAGTTTAATCTTCTCTTACAGGTTCTATTCATCAGACATTAGATTTGCTTCATGATTTTCCTATGGAAACTCATAGTTTGGAGCTCAGTGGCAGAGAAATCTACTGAGGATCCGACAAGTACTAAATTTAATGATAGGAAAACAATTATATATCTCTTTTAAGCTGCAATAGTAAGGTACTACTAGCTGACAGTTACTTTATAACTGATTCTGACTCCTCAGCTGCCTTCCATTACACTTGAATCTACATGATCATGACCAATTATATACCAGTGATATAACTAATAACATATACTTAATTTTCCATGTGGCAATTACTTTGCCGCTTTATGTTATCTTACCTAATAGCCAGATAGCTCTGAGGATTACAGATGAAAAGAGCAAAGCTTAGAGAGATGAAAAAATTGCACAATGTCTCAGAGCTAGTAAGGGAGTAGAATTTGAACCTAGTCTATATAACTGCAGAAGTTTTTTATAGCCATGATTGAGGAAAAGTGGTGACAAGTTGATAAAAGTTGACATAAAGCCTTTTTTGGGTTTTACAATGTATTGTTATCCAAAGACTGCATGTACGTGTTTCTAGAAATTTGTAATTAAAATATTGTGAAGACACTGAAAAGTTTTCAAATGCACATCCTCATGAAGGAGGTTAAGTCATCAAAGAGGTGATGATATAATTAAGATGTGAAAACAAACTTACTTAAGGTAGTTAATTAACTATATTAACCTCAGTCTCAAGGCTGGTACAACTGTAGATACCTGTGACACCTGCATTAGACAGATTCCCAGCTGATATGTGCATCTTATCTCTACAGAACTTCCTCCTATTAATTTTCTTAAGTAAACATTTTATATTGAAAAAAATTCAAAACAACAGGAAAAGCTACAACAAGAATGTAATTTAAAAAAAGATTTAATAGTGACCTCTCATGAACCCTCCATCTAGATTCACACATTAACATTTTGTAAAACTGATATTCATTTTTTAATTATGGTAAAAAAGAATATATAACATATAATTTACAATTCAGAAGGTAATGAGTACATTATTTTGCAACCATTATCTTCACCCATCTCCAGAATTTTTTCATCTTCTCAAAGAAAAACTATCCTGATTAATCACTAACTGCCAATTCTCCTCTTCCCAAAGCCCCTGGCAACCACCATCCTCTCTCCTGTCTCTATGAATTTGCGTATTGTAGTTATCTTATAAAAGTGTAACAATATATTTGTCCTTTTGTTTCTGGCTTATTTCACTATCTCCAAAGTCATCCAAATTGTAGTCTGTGTCAGAATTTCCTTCCTTTTTAAGGCTAAATAATATTCCATTGTGTGTCTGTATCACATTTTATCACTCCTGTTCATTTTAACCACTTTCTGAACCTTCCCAGAGCCCCAATCTGAAATGTCCCAAGCATAGATGAGATTCTGAAGGCAATGTGGCAAAGCAGCACACAGCAACACCCCCCTCCTTTTAACATAATTTCTATGTTGTTGTTGTTGTTTTAAATATCTGTGTTTTATTTATTTATTATTATGTAGTGCTGAGGATGGAAACCATGTGCAAGGCAAGCACTCTGCCACTGAGCCACAACCCCAGCCCCCAGCAACTCCTTTAGATGTCTTCATTTTCTGGCCAGTGAGCTATGTATCCTCTTAGTTAGACACATGATACCAAGCACAATTTTTATTGTAGTGTTATCTGCAGTGTCCTTCCTCCCACCTTTTCAAATATGTAGACCAAAGAGCTCAACCCTACCAGGAGCCACTTATCTGGAAACAGAAAGGTTTGGGGGGGGGGGTTGACAGAACCTTCACCTATTTGAATATTGATGGACTGCCATGTCCCCCAACCTCTTGTCCCTTTTCCGGTTTCTTTTCTTATAGAAGTATTCAAATCCCCAAATCCCAGTAAAATTGCCCCACCACTCTATTTTTCTATCAAGCTCTCAGGCTTTCTTCTTTCATTTCCCTGTAAATTTCACTTTCTCCATACTGGTAACTCCTGAACCATTTGCAATCTGGCTTCACTAGTCCTAAATGTAGTGCTTAGCACACTTTCCAGGTACAAAATAGTTACTTTAAAGGTTTCTTAATGACTGATTCTGAAACTTGTCATATTACCTTATCATTTTACCTGTGT